CGTAGCTCCCTGATAAAAAACGTTATTTTTATATGATGAGCTTATAATGCGCCTTCTCTTTTTAATACTTATTAATAGGTAACGCCATTAGATAAGAGACGAAACATTCACACAAGCCAATATTTGCTGACACCATCCATTGTGAATTACAGTCCACCTCAAACGCTTATTAATGTAAGTGGCCTTCAACTACCGTGCAGTTCAGAGGTTTAACATTCATGGCAGAATGTCACGGAACGGTGGCGCGACTGTCAGTCAACAGATAGTTCACTGCACAGGTCATCGCAATCGTTTGCTATACCATACAGGCCAATCGACTGTCTCCGAAAGGTCCGATTATCACAACAGCCGTTTGTAAAGTAATTGTTTATAATCGTGCGACTGACTAAACTCCCCGCTGACTTGAAGAAGACATTCAAGGTGCATGGTGGTCCTTGCAAGTTTCGACTACATACTCCGTCTGCACCTGCGTTCTGCAATCTGCAAGCACGAGTCGTTTGAATCTGAGCGCGGCAGGTGAGTCGCCGTCGCGGTCGACGCGGCCCGCTGCGGCCGGCGGACGTTGAACCGAGCCCGGCGCCGGAGCCGAGCGGAACCGGCGCAATCCGTTGACTGGTTGCAGCTGCGCACTGGCAGCTATGAATGTGAGGTGATTCGACCCGGCACGCGACCGCCAGTGACGGCGGGCGGCGGCGGGCCACATCCGGCGCCGCCCGGCCGCCGAGGGGGCACGCTTCCGGCGAGCGCAGGTGCAGCCAGCGGCGGCGGCCGCGGCGCGTCTGAGGGGTCTCGGCTCACTGCCTCTGATGACGCCGCGGCCGTCGCGTGCCGAGGCCGTCAGCAGTGACGGTGCCGACGGTGGAAGGGTGAGGAACAGACATAAAGGAAACGGCACAGAAGGGTTCGGAACTCTGGTTTCATAGCAATTCAACGATATTCAGCGTTCCCGAGTGCATGGTAGCTATCATACGAGTAAAGCGGCTGAGGGAGGCAAGCGAGCCGAAACAGATCGCTTAAAACCGATGGCAAATTCATAAAAGAATGGGAATTCATGCCCAATGCTAAAAATGTTACGCAGAGCGAATAAAACTTGATGTGGTAGGTGCGTATCAATCATAAGTCGAATAGCTCGACCATGTGTTAGGGGCATTTTAGATCCTCTTACCACAGCGCGCTCACTGTTCAGCTTGGCACTGATGACATAAGGTGTGCAACTGTCAAAATAGGTACGCACTTTACACTAGCTAGCCACAATTAAGAAAATTGTGCAAAAAGTGATGCATTTAGGACGTAGGATGTTGTTCTAACAGACCTCCAAAGGCTGCACAAAAACAAGAGCGCTCTGGACTGACTCACGCTCTCCTGTCCCCTCTTCGTGTTCTATTTCTGGGGCGCCAGCTGTCTGTCCAGCTGGCAGTGACCGGTGGCCAGCCTCTGGCCACCCCTGTCGGTCTGAGCCCCTGAACCCTTTACCGAGACACCTGGCCCCGAGCCCCACCGTATACGTCCGAGGGGAGAGGACCGCCCCAACCCTTCCATTCCCGCTCAATTAGCCCGTCCGGGCCGGGGCAAACAGTGGAGATGATGATGGTAATTGCAGTTTAGCTCGGTAAATTAGCTACCGAATCCGTTTTACATACAGAGAGAAAGGTAAGAGTCTTCCGCTCTCCGTGCTGAAGGCAGCTGGAAGGGAAGGTGGTGTTGTGAACTGTCTACAGGCTCTTAAAGGTAGACTGCCACCTTTTTTCCACAAAACGGTTTTCACTAGAGCTGAGCCACCTATGTCCCAGACTGAAGTCGGTTTTCCGAAATTCGAACCCGTTTGCGAGAAATCGGAGACCAAAGTTCAGTTTGATGCCATTTTTTTAGTCCAAGAAAACCGACATCTCTACTGTTTATCGATAACTTTGAAACATGAATTTTCTTATCTTTTGGTAAATATATGTCAAAACTTTGATTGTTTCGAGATCAGAGAAGAATTTTGGAGTGTCAAAATAAAAGTTAAACTTATATATTCAGTAGTTCATTTTTTCCAAAAAGTGTGGGAAATGGGGTTTAACATGGGCCAGACCCATTCCAAATGAGCCATGATTTTTAAATGTTTTACGAACTTAAATGCAAAATAAATTAAACATGGCCAATTTCTTATGAAATCATATATTAGTAAATCATAAAATACCTTACTTTTTCAAATAAAATGTAATAATCTTATGACCTTGAAGTCTAGTGATGTGTAAACATTGTCGCTAGACATTAACCAATTGATAATTGTATGATAATCGACAATTTTTTTCGCGATTCACGTGATGATACTTTGTCAGGTGAATTATAAAATTTTGTTTTGTCCAGGGAATAAATCATAGGCCGATCTGAGAAAACTTTTTGAAGGTGGCAGTCTTCCTTTAATGGTTCATGTGATTCGCAAAACTGCTCACTCACTTTGGCAAACTATCGCTCGCGTGACCAGACGGTTGGCCTTCTAATGCATGTACGGCTTTCAGACTTCGCACAAATAAGCTGACTTTATCCAGGGCTTTATCAGGAATGAGATCGTTCTACGAGTAAACTGCTGAAACGCTGAATTTTAACGAATTGCAAAAACAAAGCTATTATGAACGATAAGACTATAATATCAGACGCAGAACATTCAATTGCGCTCTTGGGAAAACAGCTCCCACAAAAAAAGAACGATTGCACGCACATTTTCCAGCAGCCCAACTGAGTAAACGCTATCGATCAGCATAGCTAAATAGCAACTGTTACATAACATCAACCCACTCGGCCCGTTTACGCCCACTCAATGTGTAATGGTGTTGACAGCCGCCCCCGGCGCGAATAAACACCCTTCGTGCGGCCTCACGAGGACTTGGGCATTACGTGGAACTTTACGTGGAACTTAACAGATCGATGCCGGTCTCAGTCCGATCGCTGCAGTTCTTCGGATCGTCCTGTTACCCACCCCAGTGTTTACTTTTTACATTCCCAGTATCGGATGTGCCCGGTCGAAGTGCGAGAGACGCACGCACATTAGCCGCACACACGCACACCCGGCTCGCGCGGCCGGCGATCGGGTCGATTTGTGTCGCATTATCGTCGCTAACCACTACCCCCACGGTGGGGAGAGTGTCGCACTCAGTCAATAAATCGATACCGTCTGCGTGAGACCAACTGGGCGTGGGGCGACGGCAACTACCCGGCGCTTCATAAGCAATGCATGACGCGGGCCCGGGTACATGGGGGCACGGCGTACCACAACAACCGTAATCGCCGAGTTTCACGGACACGAGTCGTGGTGGTGGAAGGTCAGGAGGGGCTGAGCCACCGCCTGCACGGTGCGCAGGGAACACACGTGTAGCTGGGCAAAACGAGCGGAACGATGCACATTATTTTATCCCAGATGGACTTCAACAATTTTCAGTTTCACGGCAAATAATCAAACCACTCATAGGACGCATTGTCTCTGGGTTCTTCAAACAGGATCTGACTATGTGAAGGGATACATTCTGTACCCACACCCCCAGGCTCAGATCGAGCGCCTTTCTGCCGGGGAAAGGCGTCGCTCTCGGTGTATTGGTTACAGCGCGTTCACACCGAACTCCCAGTGAAACTGAGCGGGACCGCCTCCGGCCAGCGCCAGTGTCAAACGCTCGCACTCGTGTGCCCAGTTTTCTAGCGGTCGCGGAAAACCCGGTGAAAGGCTGGTGGGAACTGCACTGCGGAGCTGCCGGCCGGCGGGTGGTCTGCTGGAACGGGGCACGATGCGGGCGAGGAGATAGCGGGACTGCATGGCAGCGGCCCCCTCGTGCCGTCAACCAGACGAATTCAGCTTGTTTGTATGATTTCCGGGACACGCTGGTCATAGAGCATCACAATTCTACCTTAAGTGCTCACTTCAGACGTCCTGTGTGCTTTATGGACCGTTGCAGTCGTATTTGGGAGCCGTTTGTTCGATGATTTTCATCGATGGAGGGGAGCGCTCGGTGGTGCGCAGGGGAGGAGACTCGCGTGACCAGCTGAAGAGGGTCAACACGAGGCGGGGAACGGACCGAGGCAGACATACGACAGGGCAGTGAGCTCGGACAGACCGGCTCGTGACGGCTCTGCGGCGGCCCTGCGCCGGTTCTGTGACATTTTCGTGACGCTTCCGTGACGGTTCTGTCTGGATTCTCGCCGGATGACACTGATAGTCACGCCAGCGTGAAGCCTGGCGAGAATCCGCCTGTACAGATCTCTCTCGCTGGCTGACTTCGGTACAGCGTTATCGACATCTCACGCCGTGCCGTTTCTTTTAGCCTGGTCACGGTTACTGCCTATCAGACTTTGTTGGGCACTATTTGTCAGAGACTATCTGACAGTCCGTCAGTCCGGGATGTCGTATGTCAGCCACTGTCTGTCCGTACCAAGGTCGGACTGTCCGTCATAATCAGGGCCAGACACAGCATGCAAATCCTCTTATCGCGAATAATGACTCGTCAGACACCACTTTGGCACCGCCTTGAATTCTGAGGAAGAAGTGTTAAGTGGTACTGCTAACTGCTCTGAAAACGTTATGAGTGTCAAGTGGAAAGAATTGACGGAAGTGGACTTCATCCTGCCTACACACGTAAAACACAGCTCGTCGGGCGGGATAAGCAGGACCTACAACTATAACTCTAACTCTTTCAGTCGATGAGCAGTTAATTAGCACGAGCTCGATACCGGAAAGTAACTTGATGCTTCGATTCATTAATCATTATGAATTCAATAAAATTCACTAAATCGACTCATTAACGTGCTACTTTTTTAATAAAACAAATGAGGGATCGTAAAGATGGGATCTTGCTGGCCGATCGTTGACGCTCTATGGCGTTTAGAGAATAAAGGGTGAGCCCCGGTCAGCGATTCACGTCAGTGCTAAGTCTATTACCGCGCTTGGATCTGCGTGTGGGCTCTGTCGGCCGTAGACCCGATGCCTGACCCTCCCCGCCGCGACCCCGACCCGCCCTCCCTCAGTGACCCACCTCTGCCGCGGTGGCCGGTCTGCGGCCCGGCGTTGGACTCCAGTTGACGGTGCCGCTGGTGCTGCTCAGGGTCGACGACAGGTCGCTCTCGGCGTGGCTCGGCTCGCGGGCCATGCGGCCCTGCCAGCGCCGCGAGCGCTCCAGGTCGGCCACGGAGCGCTGGCGGGTGCGCGGCCGGCTCACCTGCTGTGGGGGCGGCGCCGCAAAGTGCCGGCTCTGCACGGGCACCTGCTGGGCGCGCAGCTCGAACGAGTGCTCATAGTTGGTGCCGCCGCCTCCGCCACCGCCGAAACCCAGAAACGGGATGTGCCGCTCGTCCCCCATGGCGGCCCGGGGATCTCGTTCACGTCACACTCAGTCCGACTACCCCGCGTCTCCTCCCGACCCCTCAGTCTCCCCTGCACCACTCGCGGGTCCGTCTCTGACTACCACAACCCGACCCGTCACCTCCGCTGTGCTCCTGCGCTCCGCTCCTGTCGGCTCGGCGTCGGCCCCGTCTCTGCCAGCCGTCGGTTGACACACTGGTACACACCTGCGCGCGGGCCGGTGCGCCGCCGTTCTGCGGCCACGTGCCGTCACCCTCGCCTGCGCTGCCCCCGCCGACCCGGCCACGCGTCGGCGGCTCTCACCTGCTCGTTCGGCCGCCCGGCGGGGGACGGGACGGCGGGGGCCGCCCTTCGGCCGTGACGGCCCACCAGCACGCTCCGCCGGGCCTGGGCACGGTAGAATGGAATGGGCATGGTAGTTAAAACTGTAGGCTGTAAGCAGATATGTTAATACTTGCCTGTATGCATAGGTATAGCTATGTAAGCTGACTATGAAGAGACGTTTGTATACTGTGTGGGTAATGGGTATGTATGAATACCTGCGTAGCATGTTTCTTTTTTTTTTGGGGGGGGGGGTGTCATCGGCCTTCCTTTCAGGCCACGGTCTGACTAGGAAACCGTATGGTCTGTGTATACTCGACTAGCCACACCCTGTCTGGACGAGCTGAGAGCTCCTTACCGAACTGGGGTTATTTAGTAGCAGGCGGGGCCCATAATAGCCGTTTTCACGACGGCCATCTGGTACACAATTGGTGCACATCTGATGCAGATTAGGTGCAGATTTGGTCAAATTAGGTTCAGTGTGTCTCTTAGTAGCTATCAGCTAGGGTTGAACTTATTGCTTATATGCCTACTTTGTTATATTATCAGAGAGCATCATCGATTAAAACACTGAAATAAATTCATAAAATGAAGATATTTGCTGTAAAAGAGACTAGGTGCGGATTTGGTCAAATTAGGTGCATTCGCCGGATAGCCCGTCGTGAAAACGGCTAATAGCGATCCGACCCTCCCCCATGGACTTCCCGCGTCCTGGGTGTGGTGGTCTCAGCCAGCTTCGTCATGGTGGCAGGGGGCCAAACCTGGCTATTTCGGAATCTAACTAAGCAAGCTATGAAGTACGCTGACGCAGAAAAAAAACAATCGATAGCACTTTAGCAAATCTTTAAGAATTGTAGGTATATGTTAATTTCCATCAGGTCGTCGCTGAGGTCGCTTGAAGTTGCCACAAGCAAAACTGTCACACAAAAATCCCGAGTTTGACAGTTTTCACAAATCGGCGCAAAAATCGGGAACATCGCTACGGTAAAACGCATTTCATAGCTCTTTCAAAGCTGTTTATGTGTAGGTATTGTTCTCTATGTAATTTGACCCGGGTCAACGGTTTAGCCTCCAGTGGCCCTATCACCAACCACGGGTTAAGGGTAGGGGTAGGAGTAACGGGTAACGGGTTATTTTTGTGGCGGTGTTCACAATCGAAGTTTACCCCTGATGGTCGCCCGGCGCCACGCAGACGGCACCTGGCCTGCGTGGCCGTCTGCGTGGCGCCGGGTGATTGTGAAAACGGCCACATAGGGCAGAAACTCCTAAGATTTGACTTTTAGTTCTGGAAAACGCTTACCTGCAATAATTTTTTACACCCAAGCCTTCATAACGTTTAATTTTACTTGTAGCGCGTTTCTCTTGTTGGGATGCGACGAATGAATTACAAGTTGCAGAGTCCTGACCTGGCCCAATCTCACCAAGTGCGTTAAACTCATTTTGGGGTAAACTACCAAACTACCCCACTACGTACCTACAAAAGCTACCCCAAAATTGAATTTACCCCTTGAGTTTGAGATTGGACCAAGGGTCTGATCTCACAAAGTGCGGTAAGCTCAATTTTGGGGTAGCTTTTTGTAGTTATGTAGTGGGGTAGTTTGGTAGTTTACCCCAAATTGAGTTTACCGCACTTGGTGAGATTGGGCCACCGTAAAAGGTCATGCGCATGACTTTTCCGGTCAGGTCAGGACTCTGCAGCTTGTAATTCATTCCTCGCATCCCAACAAGAGAAACGCGCTACGGGTAAAATTAAACGTAATGAAGGCTTGGGTGTAAAAAATTATTGCAGGTAAGCGTTTTCCAGAAAAAGTCATATCTTAGGAGTTTCTGTCCTATGAGGCCGTTTTCACAATCACCCGGCACCACGCAGACGGCCACGCAGGCCAGGTGCCGTCTGCGTGGCGCCGGGCGACCATCAGGGGTCAACTTCGATTGTGAAAACCGCCACAAAAATAACCCGTTACCCGTTACTCCTACCCCTACCCTTAACCCGTGGTTGGTGGTAGGGCCACTGGAGGCTAAACCGTTGACCCGGGTCAAATTACATAGAGAGCAATGCCTACACATGTAAACAGCTTTGAAAGAGCTATGAAATGCGTTTTACCGTAGCGATGTTCCCGATTTTTGCGCCGATTTGTGAAAACTGTCAAACTCAGGATTTTTGCGTGACAGTTTTGCTTGTGGCAACTTCAAGCGACCTCAGCGATGACCTGATGGAAATTAACATATACCTACAATTCTTAAAGATTTGCTTAAGTGCTATCGATTGTTTTTTTTTTTCTGCGTACTTCATAGCTTGCTTAGTTAGTTTCCGAGATAGCCAGGTTTGGCCCCCTGCCACCATGACGAAGCTGGCTGAGACCACCACACCCAGGACGCGGGAAGTCCATGGGGGAGGGTCCGATCGCTATTAGCCGTTTTCACGACGTCCATCTGGTATACATTTGGTGCACATTTGGTGCAGGTTAGGTGCAGATTTGGTCAAATTAGGTTCAGTGTGTCTCTTAGTAGCTATCAGCTAGGCTTGCACCTACAGTAGAATCCGCTTGATAAATCCTCTGATAATAAATCCAGCCGCTTATTGTGGCCGCTTGAGCTGTTCACGGATTTTCTTCATAGATACCCATGGTTAATAAATCCGGTTAATAAATCCACGCACTCCGCTTAATAATTCCTCTACGGCCAATTCCTCTACTCGAAAAATGCTGTGCAAGTGTATTTCGACATAGCCCACAAATGACCTTAGGTCATCGCATGACCTTGAGAGGTCAAATGGGTATCGGGAAAGTAAGATGCTGGCGAGTCGATTGGTGCCATTTTAGCGCTCTAGGCTCTACTGGGTGGGTTACAATCTGCTGTGCAAATTTGGGCCACGTGACCTTTGCTGACCTCTGTAGGTCAAACGCCTGGGAGTGCCACCGAATGACTCGGACTGTGGATTGGGCATGTCAGGACCTACATTGTGTGCGAGTTTCAGCTTGATCGGAGGTGTCCCGAATCTGGGCTGAATCCGGGCTGAATCTGGGCTGAATATGGGCTGTCTTGACGGACATCATATCAGTCAACCTAGTTAGCTGATCAAAAATAATAGACACCATTTTCGAGACCCTTTTTACAAAGTGCAACATACTTTTACACTTAAAGGAAATAGTTCACTTTTTAACATGGGTTTTGAACTGGAATAGCAGTTCCGTAGCCTGGGCTGAGACAAGCATAAATCAGGAGCTTTTACAGCCCAACGATCACCCTAGGCAAAGATATTCTATTTCTCGTCCCGAAAAAGGTGTCTTGCGTTGAGGATGTGTGCCTTGCATATATTTGCATCCAGTATGAAACGAGCATGGGTCCCGAAAATTCTTGGCAGAAACTAGAGAAATTATCTACGAGAACTCTAGAGAAATTCTCGTACTGATCAATAAGGACATTCAGCAGCAGCAGATCGCCCAAATGCCGGTGGCCGCGATAATTTCTCTAGTTTCTGAAGAATTTTTGGGACCCATGCTCTTTTCATACTGGATCGCGTGTGCCTTACAGAAACTGAAAAGTTCTTCCTATATCAAAATATAGAAAATAATCTTTTGTTACAAATAGGTTTTATTTTATTTTCTGATCATTTTGAACATAAAAAATCATAAATCCATTGCAAAAAAAATAATATCGTGAAAGTGAACTATTTCCTTTAAACTTACATTAAACCTACTTTTACTAAGCCCCCTTTGGCCCTTTTACTAAGTGTAAGTGTGAGCTTTACGTTAACCCTCGCCGGCCGAGGGGGGGGCCCCCCATGGAAATTTTTCGCGATAGCTCCGAACACGCCGGCGATAGAGAGCTGAGAATTAGCATACCTGACCTTTGATCCAAGCCACATCTTGTGATACCAACGACATTTTCAGGTCAGGTCAGATCACAGACCTATGACGCCATAAGTGCATCTCTGCACGGTCCTCAGATTTCGCCCTCAGTGCCAGAGGAACTTTCACAGGGAGATCAAAAACTTACACCTGGTGTAGTATCCTTCACAGGTCTCACAATCTGTATATCTCGGATTTTTCCTAAAGATCACATGAGGTCAGGTCGGTCACGTGACCTCACCATCACCTTTACCTAAGTCAATGGGTAAGAATGAAAACTGCTACTTTGGCGCCGGGAACGATCTCAAACTATATCTCAAGCACACTGAATCGTGAGTTTGGCACTCCTTGCAAGGTTCGATTCTTCACTTTTGGATTGTTGACCTTGCGTGACGTCGTTAATGACGCCACTTGGGTCAATATAGTTTTTCGTCAACAGCTTGCGATCAAATTGAACTAACAAGTCGGGAAAGCCACTAATGGGCTCAGGAAGACCTGCCAAATCGAATAATATGCAAAATGACCCCTTTCGACCATCTTCGTGACCTGGGGGCGCTGACCTGACCTCGACCCGAGGTAAACACTTAAGTTGACCTCAACCGAACAAAAAGTGAACCATTCGACGTGCCTGGGCGACGCGAACACGATGATGCCAAAAACGCGGCTCTGCGACTGCATTTGCGAATCTATTTATGAAAAACTGGACCCGTGCCTTGGGCCCACTTGACCTGACCTCAGAGGTCACCGGTTGACCGGAGACCTTAAAATCGGGTGCCAGTCGCTGCCTCTCGTAACGGCGCACGGGCTCGTTTTTTTCTGCGACGCTCTACCTCCATCAGGCAGGGGCGAAACGGCGAGGGGGTCGTACCGACCTCCTCCCAGCTATGCCGGCGCGTGTGCAGAAAACCAATAGGTAGTTTGATCCCATTAGACCTCAGTTGACCAGTGGCGGCGGAACTGGGAACACCTTCAATTAAGGGGGGGGGGCACCGTCGACTTTTGGTCCAATTCTTTTCATGCAACGCTCAAAGGGCTAATGTCAAAATGCCAAAATCAAAGGGGGCACAGTGTCCCGGCATGCCTCCCCCCCCCCGTTCCGCCGCCTATGCAGTTGAACCGACCCTTGCGTTCTTGCATCAACAAGAAAACATTCCCATTTTGGTATGTAGGACTGGAGGTACATGAATGATCAACAGAGACGTTGAAGTTGAAAGGAGCGGAACCGTATCAACTCGGGAGCGTTACGGCAAAGGCTTGCTAACCGGAATAGATGCACATCAACACAAACCCCGGCTCTGACGACGTTCCGTTTACTCCGGGCCAAGTCTGGCATGTTGGAGTTGCCGAGGCAAAACGAACCAATTTGCTAGCTGGGTATAGATTAACCCGCGCCCTGATGGGGGGGGGCATTTTGGCCCCCCCCCCCTGTGGTTTTTCTTAAATAGCGAGAAAACGGCGGCGCGCAGCGCCGCCAAATTTTGGGTACCTTACCGCTCATCAATTTGACACCTTCACACAAAATTTCAAGTCACAGGTCACCTCAGGTCAGGAGTTATTGAGGTCAAACTGAGGTCATGTTCGAGTAAAAAAGAGCAAAAAACATGACATCTTGAAACGCTCACCAATTCTACAGTTGACAAGCAATTTTGAAGTTCTTTATGTGGTTGTGTAGAGAAAAGACGGCGCTACAAAACTGTTATCTCGGATTTTCCAAAATTTTGGATTTTAACCCCCAAAAATAAAAAAATGATTTTTTTAGAAAAACACAAAAAATTCCAAATTTTTTTCGAATTTCGAAAAAAAACGGAATATATGTGATAGTCCCTGCGCTCTTCGATATACATACCAAATTTTAGATCGATACCTCTTTTTTTGGCCAAGTTATAGCGAAAAAACTGTTAAAAATTGATGACGTCAAATTTTTGAACTCAATTTTTAGCAATTCTAGACCTCGTAGCGCAAAACGGAGACCACCATTGAACTCCCCGTGACGAGCTGCATCGAATCGATACCCATTTTATGCAAAAATATCAACTTTGAAATTTGACCTAATTTGACCTGACCTTGACCTGACCTTGACCTGACCTTGACCAAAACGTGACCTAAGCTGGCCCTAAAGTCTGTCTGACCCACATAATCGCATTTGTCATGTAAAATGGACCATAAAACATGTATCACACGACACTTTCATATTGTGACCCCCCCGTGACCTGACCTCTGTGACCTGACCTGGTATCAGTGACCTCAAATAGCAAAATATGTGTTTGAAGAACATTTCCCCATCGATGATTTTCAATGAAATGCATTTTACACGATTTTACAACGCATTTCTTGAAATGCCTGTAAACGGTGAAAATTCGACCTTTGACCTGACCTGTGACGTCATCGGTTTGACCGAGGTCAATGAAATTGGGTCACAAGGTAGTTCCCCGTTGGGGCTATCCAACACCGTTTACCGCTTGTCGCTATGTTGCGTGGTTCTCGAGATCTGAGGGGGGGGGGCCAAAATGCCCCCCCCCCCCATCAGACCGCGTTGCTCGGCAGACCCCATCTGGGCGCGGGTTAATAGCTCTATTCCGGTTAACCAGCCTTTGCCGTAGCGCTCCCGAGTTGGTATGGTTCTGGATATCTGTTATCTTTGGTTCTGGACCGCCAAGTCCGGCTCAAGTGACTGTCCGGCTCCCTGCCAAGGGCCATGGCTCAAGTCCGGCTTCCTACGGCCAGGTCCGGCTGCCTCGTAGCTGCTCTGGCTTGCTGTGGCTGAAGTACGGTTTAGGTACGGCACGGCTGATTGGCATATTTAGTCCGGCTGTGGTGTGGGCGAGCTCTGGCATCGTGTGTCAGCTCCAGTGGAACTGGAAGTGGAGCCCCAGACCTTGCCCGTACTTCAGCCGCGGCAAATGCCGGAGTTAGCCCAGACCAGATTTGCTGGCTGGCGTAGAGCCCCCCAAGGTCATATAAGATATAAGCCCCCTCCCCCGCCATGCGCAAGTCAAGTTAGAGGTCACACGTCAGGGTCATCCCTGTAGGTGAGGGACACGTCGAGACCACTTAGATAACGATCAAAAGAAAATTAAAGGCTAAAGCCACTTTTTGCGGTACCCGAACTTTTCACTTTTCATGGAGCGATCAAGCCGATCAAGCCAAAGCCACCCGATATACCTAACCCGAAAACGCCTGTCGATATGGTCTACTAAAAAAAAAAACTGAAATCCGTGGCCCCCATAACAGAAAAAGACTAAAAGCACAGCGACAATATAGTTATCGACGACAGGTTAATTAGATTATCATCACGTTTTTTCATCAGAGAATCTTTGTACCTATGTTCTGTTTTCGGTGTCAGGAACAAGGAACAAGAGCCGATTTATCTACCAGCAGGAGAGCCGATTATTGGGGGGGGGGGGGGACAAAAGATAGTACCTATGTCCGGTGTCCCAGCCAACATTTTGGTTGGGGGGGGGGACATGTCCCACCCCTCCCCCCCCGGTGGCGGAGCCCTTGGGCCCAAAGGCCAAGTTTAGGTAGGTACTTAGAGGTCACAGGTATGGTCACAGGTCAAGGTCATCACTCATCCCTTTAGTGCCCTGGGTCATCCCAGGTTGGTCCTTTAGGCGAGGAACACGTAGAGACTTACATTATAGAGTTCAGTGGACTTACCTATTAGAAAACGATCAGATGAAAATAAACGGCACCCTGAATATATATAATGCAACCAACCGGAATGCAACCTATTACGCGCATGTTGATTATTTAATATGTTGTCCAAAATTTTATAAGACTTGAGAATGCGTAAAACATGCGCTACTGCGACAAATACGGTTGACGGTTGTACCATTATGCAGTATGTATTATGGTAGGTAATAGGTATTATCGGTGAGTTTTATGGTTTTATCAATTTTCCACATCAACATTGACATGGTAATGGGGCAAATTACAAATTATATTTCACGTTTCTCCTAATCATGATATTCTCCCTTGTATAATATTGCTATTTATGAGAATATTGTATATAAATACGGTAAGAATTAGCTTTTATCGGTTTTGCTTTTATCCATTGATGTTGATGTCATGGATAAAAGCAGTTGAGGACGTGTTGAGGTCTTCTATCAAATTGAATTGAATTATCAAGTGAAATTTCGGTTGAAGTGAAGATCCCGCGTTGCGCTTTCGGCGGGAACGGACGTGTCTCATCGAGCTCTCTTAGAATTTGAACGAGTTTAGCTGGCTATTGGTTCCTGGCCTAGGATTGCTTGAAATAATTTGAAGTTCGCTTATCCATCTTCTCTTGGCTCCTGAAGATTGTACGATGCCGTTACAACACTCACCGGTTTCAACTCGACGTAAAGTGGCCGCTCCGATTTCATCAGCTGTTGCAGCAACGGAAATGGAAAAGATTCAAACTGAGAGCCCCACGCCGGAATCGTCCCAAGCGCAAACAAGTGAAAAAGGTGATTCATGCAAGCAGAATGCAGGTGATTCTGTGTCATCCCAGGCTGTTGGCAAGGTTAAAGTAGGAGAAAGCAAGGAAGGTGAAAGTGATTCTCAACCAGGGACTGAGCACCTCGTCAACAAAGGTATGGACAAGCCTGTGGGTGACAAGGCTGTGGGTAAGCTGGATGAAAGTATTTTCAAAAGGTGGGAAAATGAGTCTGTGTCCATCTCCCGTTCTTCCAGCGACACGAGCTCAGGAAGCGAGGCTAACATCTGTAAGGGTGGGCCTGGAAAGCCATGCGGAGAGGCTGTTCAAGCTGGGGATGCGGGTGTCCTTTGCGACAGATGTCACAACTGGTACCACACTGCATGCCAGGGCATCCCGAAGCTGGCTATGAAAGCGCTGGAAAAATACAAGGTTCTTGCTTGGCTCTGCACTAGTTGCAAGGCAGATCTGAAAAGGGGTAAACCACATCGCCCCTCGCTCTCGTCTCTGTCAAGTAAGGTTGACCTGCTCGATGAAACCCTCCGTGGCCACATGGCTGAAGTTCAGCAATCTCTGAAAGAGTATGAGTCAGTCATCAAAGTCCAGTTTGCAGAACTGAAGTCTGACCGGGAGAAGACCATCCAGCTTGTAGACAAGTCTCTGAAGGGAAATGAGCTGCATAAGACATATGCTGATATGGTAAAGGGCACCTGCGACGAGGTAGTGAAGAAGGTCAGTGATCAGATCTCTGCCTTCCCTAAAGTGGGTACTCAAGCTGGATCCAAGGGTGTACAGGACCTGTCTGTTGCCCTGGATGACTATATGGACAAAGAAAAGAGGAAATCCAACATTGTAGTCCACAACTTGCCTGAACAGGATAGCGAGACCCAGACAGATAGATCTGGACACGATTCCTCCCTCTTCATAACCATGATCAAGGAAGAAATGAAGTTGAAGGTCAACGTTCAAAAAAACTTTTCGAGTCGGAAAGAAAATTGAGGGCAAGGATAGGCTTCTGATAGTCGCCCTGGAAAATGTCTCAACAAAATATGACATCCTGAAACTCGCCCCCCAGCTGCGTCACTCTAAAAAGTTTCCAAGGGTATATGTCACTCCTGACCTGACCAGAAAGGAGAGGGAAATTAACAAGAGGCTGAGAGACGAACTAAATAGTCGGAAGAGGGCTGGTGAAACCAACTTAACTATCAGAGGCAATAGGATTGTCAGCCTACCACCATCATCTGGGCCAAATCACAGGGGCACAGCAACAAACCGGCATGGTGCTACAGCCCCTGCCACCGTTGAAGCTGAGGCAGCTGTTGGGCAGGACCGAGCGCTGCCTGTCACTCATTCCAGAACTGAGCTGGCTGAGGTTGGAGGGCTGGCTGTCGCTCCCAGAGCTGGCAGTGACCACCCTACTCAACCACAGCCTCCCCAACAGTCTGAAGGTAACCGGAACAACAACCAACAGGCCGAGACAACTGCCCAGCCAGACAATGCAAGTCATAGAGGCAACTGTCCTGTTCCTGAGGCCAATGCACCTGTTGCTGGAGCTGGAGGGCTGGCTGTCGCTCACTCAGGAGCTGGCAGTGACCACCCTACCCAGGCATCCAATCCTGGCCAAGGCTCAGCAAACGGGAACAGTGGGACAGCCTCTGGTAGTGTTTGACTAGCGGTGAATTCTGAGGGCAGGAAAAGGACAAACTTGCAAGTACTCTACACGAATGCTGACCAATTTCCTAACAAAAGAGACGAGCTCTGCATGAGAATTGCTGGGAATGAGCCAGACGTCATCATGATTACTGAAGTCATTCCAAAAGCCCAAACTGTTCCCATTGCTACAGCTCTGCTAGCTGTCCCTGGGTATTCCATGCACACAAATTTTGACCCTTCTGTATCCAACCTGGGCTCAAGTGGCTGTCGTGGAGTAAGCATTTACATCAAAGACAATCTGAAAGCATCTGTGGTCAACTTTGGCATGACAACTCATATTGAGCAGCTCTGGTTGCAACTCCCACTGATGGGAAATGACAAGCTTCTGATTGGATGCCTATACCGCAGTCCAACCCTGAGCACACAAGAGAGTTCCACTGAGCTATGTCAACTTTTGCGTACAGCCTGTACTTCAGCCTGTTCCCATATTCTCATATGCGGGGACTTCAACATGCCCCACATTGACTGGGAGAATGTCTTCTCTCCTGCTCCTCCCCTGGATGTTTCACACCAGTTTCTGGAAGTGATAAATGATTGCTTCCTCACTCAGCAAGTCACTCGACCCACTCGCTTCCGTTCAGGTGAGACGCCCCACATCCTGGACCTGATCCTCACCAATGAAGATGGGATGGTAAAGCACCTTTACCATGAATCAGGCCTTGGAAGGAGTGACCATGTCATCCTGCGGTTCGATCTGGCATGCTACACATACCAACATGAGTTCCCCTCTGCTCGTCCCAACTACTTCAAAGGAAACCCAGACAAGTTCATCAGGCTGGTCCAGGAGTTGGACTGGGAGTCAGCAGATGCACTCGGTATCGACCAAAAGTATGACTTCATTACCAGTAACCTCACCAGGATTGCTCTGGAATGTTTCCCGAAAAGTAAGAGAAAAGGAAGCCGTAAGAACATCTACATAAATGGGCAGGCTCTGCGCCTAAAAAAGAAGAAAGAGAAGCTATGGAAGATATACTCTCACTCCCAGGATGTGTTGGACTATTGCAGGTACACTCAGTGCAGAAATCAACTGCGTGCGCTGACAAGAAGACTGAGACGTGACTTTGAGGAAAAGCTAGCAACGAACATCAAAGCCAATCCAAAGGCTTTCTGGCGGTATTCCAACACAAGGCTGCGGACCAAGACCAAGATCGATGACCTTTCTGATGACTCAGGGCGGACTGTGAGCGATGACACGGGAAAGGCGCAACTCCTGAATGCTTTTTTCAGTAGTATATTCACTGACGAAGATACGACCGAGATCCCGGAACCGACAACCAACTTCTCAGGTCCTCCAATCGAGTCAATCCGCATAACAGCTGAGGCAGTCCGGAACAAGCTTTCCTCTCTCAAAACGGACAGCACTCCCGGTCCCGATGGTTTGCACCCCAAGCTTCTGCAGTTGGCGTCTCAGCCCCTGGCTGGTCCATTGGCTTCCCTGTTTGAAGCTTCCCTCGACCAAGGAGTCCTTCCAGCCTCATGGAAAACAGCGTCAGTCTTTCCCATACACAAGAAGGGTAACAAGCAGACCCCGGGGAATTACCGGCCCATCAGTCTCACATCAATCCCTTGTAAGGTCATGGAGTCCCTGATCCGCGATGAGCTCATGGACTTTCTGTCCCTCACAAACCAGTTTTCCAGACGCCAACACGGATTCCGGCCCAGAAGATCATGCAGTTCACAACTTCTGGAGGTATTGGAGGACTGGTGTAAGATGATCGAGGAAGGTGACTCAGTAGATGTGGTGTACCTGGACTTCCGCAAGGCATTCGACGCTGTTCCACACAACCGACTTCTGAGGAAGCTGCGCAGCTACGGTATCTCTGGCAAACTCCTCCGATGGATCGAAGCATTCCTGTCGGGAAGAAACCAGAAAGTCGTTGTCAATGGAAGCCACTCTGATCTGGTTCCTGTCAAGAGTGGAGTTCCTCAGGGTTCGGTTCTTGGTCCCCTCTTGTTCCTGCTGTACGTCAATGACATCCCATCTGCCGTTAACTGTACATCCAAGATGTTCGCCGACGACACAAAGGTCTACAGCGGCGTATCCAGGCAGAACGGCAAAGATGGCCAGGATGTTGCAACTGAGGCCGTGGGGCTGGCTGTCGCTCGTCCCCGAGCTGTCAGTGACCACCCTACTCGACCAGTGCAACCTGTTGGCGGTGGGCAGAACCAGAGCGGCAGACATGCCCAACTCGTGGCAGCTGGGGTTGGGCTTGGAGGGTTGGCTGTCGCTCAACCCAGAGCTGTCAGTGACCACCCTACTCGACCAACGCAGCCTGCCGATGGAGGACTGAACCAGAGTGACAGAGATGACCATCTCGAGGCAGCTGAGGTTGGAGGGCCGGCTGTCGCTCAACCCAGAGCTGTCAGTGACCACCCTACTCAACCAATGCAGCCTGTTGATGGAAGACAGACCGCTACTCGACCTCAAACCTCCCTACTGGCTGATGGAGCAGCGACTACATCGGGAGCGCTAGCCCTCCAAGCTGATATTGATGCACTTGTGGCATGGTCTGACAAATGGCAGCTCCCGTTCAATGAAGAGAAGTGTAAGGTTCTGCATCTGGGTACAAATAATCCCAAACTCCGATACACGATGCGAGGAGTGTGTCTGGAAGAGACTGAATCTGAACGGGACCTTGGCATTCTGGTAGATTCCTCCCTAAAATTCCGGAGGCAAGCATCCGCAGCCGTGGCAAAGGCCAACCAGATCTTAGCAGTGATCAGGCGGTCGTTCGAATTGATTGATGAGTGTACTCTTCCCCTGCTATACAAGACTCTCGTTCGCCCTCACCTGGAGTACGGCAATGTGGCTTGGGGCCCATTCAATCGAGCTGATCAACTTCTAATCGAACGAGTCCAAAGAAGGGCAACCCGCCTGGTAGCCTCTCTCAGACACCGCCGGTACGAGGAACGACTGGAGGCACTGAAACTGCCATCGCTGTTTTATCGGCGACGCCGAGGAGACATGATCCAGGTGTACCAAATCTTTCATGGAGGGGTTGATCTGGCTCCAGAAGAGTTCTTTACTGCCGCTGCATCCGACCGCACCCGAGGCCATCCATGGAAAATCGCAAAACCCAGAGCTGAGTCAAGACCAAGGAGACAGGCTTTCAGTGCCCGGGTGGTCAATGACTGGAACGGCCTGCCCATGTCAGTTGTTGGCGCCGGCTCTGTTGAGCAGTTCAAATCCGAACTCGACGCCCACTGGGCAAACTTCAGGTACCTGGTACCTGACTGGAGATAGTCAAGTCTCAAAGGATTCGAGCTCGATGAGAACGGTTCCCTACAGGCCAAGTGGCCTTTAAAATTCCGATCAAATTAAGGTAAGGTAAGGTAGGTAAGGTAATTTGTGATGGTCATGTTTCCCCTGCTCTGAGTTGATTTATTGCAAATGAAAGAGTTATGATGAATATTTATGAAAAATAAGTGTTCTCACAAAAGTATTATAGGTATTATTTGAATTCTTACAGGTATTCAAATTGTGCCTACTTTTGCTTGAAATGGACATTGGACATGTCTGTTGATTCTTGTATTTGTATGTATTTCTATGTATTTATGATTATGATCATGAGCAATCTTCTTATGGTGTAGGATTTCTTAATGGTGTGCTCAAGGCCGTATATAGGATGTAGAATGGTTAGCCGTTTGTTTGCATCCGTGACCTTGACAGATGACGTCAGCGGATGTCTACCAATCTTCGCCAATATTAATCTTCCGAGGATTTTATACTCTAAGGCAGTTTGATATTAACCTTAGGCTCCCTTAGAGCCTAAAAAAGATAATTTACTGCACAGCAAAGTCATAAAAATCAACAAATCTTTGAAAATCAAAACCCGTGACATGATCATCAAAACCCGTGCCTCCTGAGCCCTCCCTATGTGGCAGCATAGAACCGTAACCCCCTGGGTGTGCTTACTTACCACAGACAGCTTTTTGCTACCCAGTCTGCGGTTGCATTGAAGTTGTAAATTATTTAAGTTACATTGCATTTCTTTCTTTTCAGGTGTAGATATTTGTTGTTAACTTTAGCAAAGGAAGTGATTGGCTTAATATATTGATTGACCAGACCCCAGCCAAGATGCAAAATGAAATTCCAACACTGATTGTCCTTCTTAATGGTAAACGGAAGTCTGGGAAGGACTTTTTAGCAGAGCTGCTGAACAAAAGGTACAAATTTATGTGGGATGACAAATCAATTTGATTCTGGCTTCAACTTGTGGCAGATGACTGATGGCCTAACAATTAAAAAGAATGGCTGTCATGCTCATGTGCAATGAATGATGCATCAGTTTTGATACAGTTGAGTCATTAATGTGTCATATATGATATATAATTGAATAGCGTGCAGTGGACATGCCTTTGACAATATGTTAGGAGCTGTGACAAATGCATCACGTTCTGCATGCATGCACCCCATCACGTTCTGACTCCTGTACTGTTTCTCTAGACTGGGAGCCGACAGGTCTGTAATCGTTCGTCTGTCGGCGCCCATAAAGTCCCGGTTTGCGGAGGAGTACCAGCTCGACTACAACAAATTGCTCAGTGATTCGGGCTACAAGGAGACGTGAGGATCTGAGGCAGGGAGGGGAGGTATTGGTATGACCATGGATGAAGTATTCCTGGATAGGACACCAATGCAATGTTCCAAAATTTGTCGATTTGGGTGGGAAACGACATCCAAATGAAATTCATTTTCCACTCTCACCACCATTTTTTAAGAACAATTTTCCACTCCCAGTCAAGAAAACCTAGATTTTTTACCTATAGAAAGAGCAATTGTGTGGATGCCCGGTTTAGCATCAAGCATCCTACACCTTAGAATAAAATGCATGCTTTTTGTCGTTTTTCACTCTTTTTGGACTAATCGAATCAGCAGTTTTTCACTCTCTCCCCTCCTTTTGGTGGGTAATTTTCCCCTCTGACACCCAAGGCAAAACTCAATTTTGGGACACTGTAGGACACTCCCTGTTCCCCAACACCAGCGCCGGCGACCAAGCGGCCGCCCTGGTGGCGGAGCGCCGAAACATCGGCGCGAAGTGCACCGGCGGCCGCTGCACTGGCGTGCGTGCTAAAAATGCGGTAATGGAGAGCGAAATTAGGGAGCTTTAGCTCATAAGACACGATTTCAGGCACTTTAAACATATTTTTAAGTCCTTTCTAATAATAATTATGGCTCCAGTTAGTCTTTCTAATAATAATTTTGGCTCCAGTTAGTCATTATCACATACGGAACCATTACCTGATGCCCATAAATTGAACCGATATTCTTGACTTGCCGATACAAATTATCACCAAATATCATCGTTCCTCGGCAGTTAAACAAGTCCCTATTTGTAATTTAATATAAATATTAGCTTATTTTCATGTTATCGCATAAAACATCACTTTATTCAAACATTGGCTCTTCGGCTGTTATCACGAACGCTCACTTGTGAGCAAAATTTAAGCAACTTCTTAAGTTAACACTGGGAAAATAATATTTTCAAGACATTCCTCAATTCCTGTTCTACCAGGTTCACAAAACTTTTCCTCAAAATCGGTTACAGGTAGGGAATAAACGACAAAAGTATACAAAAAGACGCGCTCCGCCCATAGCACGCAATGCTAAAATGCCGCCAACGCCCTCGCCGTCGGAAAATCCGCCGCCGCCGTCGAGTGGTCGGAAAATCGGCGGAGCGTCCCATCCAGGAATAACCTAATCCATGGTATGACACTGTGACAGTCACAATTCTACGGTAAATCCTTTGGCACGAGGGGGAGGGAGCATGTTAAGATTGTTTGTCAGTACATTCGGTCATGTGTCTTGTCTGGTGGCCACGCTGATATCGATACGAACAGATTTTCATTAGGATCGTTTCGAACTCTTATTCGTCATGGTTAGTGCTTACAACCGTGGCGGTGGTATAGCCACCTATGGAGTACAAGACAAACTTTAGCTTACAAACCCTCCCATCGTGGCGCTAGTATCGCCCAGCCGATTCTGCAGCAGCCTTGCTCCAAGACACCGGCTATCTCGACTCATTTCTCCCTTTACTCCCAAACTCTCCACCTGAGCTGCGTTTTCCACGTGGACAGGTACCGACAGGAGATGATTGTGTGGGGTGAGCGGATGCGGGCGGTCGATAACGGCTACTTCTGCCGGCTGGCGCTGGAGATGGCCGGCGCCGACCGGTACCCCGTGTGGATCGTCAGCGACACTCGGCGACGGACCGACATCAGGTCAGATGGACGGAGGGAGGGGTCGGGCAGGCGGCACGCTAAATATCCACCTCTGGAGCGCTCAGATTGGCCATAGAATCGTAATTGCCTTAGCTCCCATGCGGAAGGTGGTTCCACATTTATTTTCGCATAGTTACATGAAATTGTATGAAATGTAATTAAGTCAGCACCAGCCGTGTCTGAGCAATGTAAATGAGCCATACTTAATGCCAATTTCAGCTGGTTTCGGGAGAAGTACGGCGACCGTGTGAAGACAATTCAGGTGAAAGCTAACCTGACGACACGGGAGCTGCGCGGATTCGTCTTCACAAAAGGTCAGGCCACTAGTTCTCGTCGATGTGCCTGCTCTTATGGCCGCTACCGCAATGAAGCGTATCTTCTGTTTCTCTCTGTTTATATGTCTCACCAAGTCATGGATGAGATAATAATGGATTGGTGTCTTCGCAGTTTTTGGCGACATTGAGCTCAGGCCTGCCATCTAGCGGGAAAATTGTCGTAAGTTAGGAGCAAGCCGAGTGAACGCCGCTGATTAGCATTGTGACACACGGGAGTGTGGTGTAGTAGCAGGCTTGTTGTGCAATTTTTCAAAAGGTTATGTCTTTATATGTCAGTAAAAGCGAAGAAATTAATAGATTTATGTGCAGGGTCAGTAATAAGATAAGCAGTTCCATGTTATTTCCTCATTAAATCGTGAAACAGGGAGTTATTGGAGACTTCGCCAGCACGTGTCGTTTTCGCTATTTTTCACATGAGTCTTTACTTGGCCTAAATCAAACAAATTGTCCGATCAAAGAACAAAACGAACGTTAGTACTATCTATAAGTCTAATGAAAAACTTAAACGGAATTGCTAATGTCATTGCCGCTCAATATGTCATTCAATACGCTCTATGAAAAGGACCCAACCGGTGGTGCGTAGTCGATGAAATTTCAGTAACTTTGGCTCCAACTCCGATTCCGGTATCCAAATATCGACTCCGACTCCTCCGGGCAGAACTGTCAATTCACACAGACTCCGACTCTGACTCCGCCTGCAGCCCTGGTAAGTCTGTGGAGTGATGACTTTTCGGTGACGTTCGGCTCATACTCGGGCTACAGCTTTTAAAAATTAACCGACTCCGAGTCGGAACAGAACCGCTGGCTCTGACTACAACTTCGCAGCCCTGGCCCAAGATAGCTGCCTAAAACAACTTTTATGTGTGATCTTCTTCGTACATTGTTAATGTTATTTTAAACAAGGGGTGGAAAAGGGAGACGAAGCCTTCGCAAACAAGGATCTCCTGTTGCGAATCAATCAGCTGCTGGAAAAGAAAGGCATATAAACACCATGCATCTCATTTCATCGTTTTCCTAACAGCTCTGCACCAATGTAAGCACTGATCAATGCAGTGCGAGCATCGATGTGACATTTGTGTACCAAGTTTGAGTGTTATCCGCCCAGCCGTTCTTGAGATATGGAAGCGGCACCCCGCACGTGCGCACGTGCAGTAGCACCCCCATAGTGACATATGGAAATGCATTGGCCACTGGGTGCCTAACTATTGACGAAGTTTTACTGTAATTGGCCCAGCCATTGCGGAGTTACTTTATGTGGAACAATTTCGACACCCCTAAGTTGGCACGTGACACGTGCCGTAACATTAACTAAGATGAAGAAAATCGGGCGTAATTCGGAGAAGAAGGAATGAACCTACCAAATATGTAAGTGACATACTGTCAAACTGCTGTACCATTGTGAGTAAATGACCATATAAAAGGTCGTACAAGCCGATGTGACTGGGCGTTTCAATACACACCGTCTTACGCATTTTATTTTCGTTATTACCTAAAGGCTGCTTGACGTTTTTGGCTTTCAAGCATTTAAGACGTTTTTGTCGTCTCAGGTCCAGTAAGATTACCTCCAACTCGTGGGAATATGCACTTCAAGCCAACTAACACACCACACCCACGTGTGTCATAATGCTGAGAGATGGCGTTCACTCGGCTTGCTCCTAACTTACGATAATTCTCTCGCTAGATGGCAGGCCTGATCCCAATGTCGCGGATCCCAATGTTAATTTCCACGAGACACCAATCCAGTGTTATATCATCCATGACCAAGTCTTGCCTGTATTATGTCTGATGCCTCTATCCGTCTGCAATGACGTTAGCGTCTTACCCGGTCCTACCAGGGGTAGATGACGTCTGTCTCGCGCTTAACCCTGCGAGGGTAGGTGATGTTTGACCCCCTCACCTTCAAGGGTGGATGTCTGACCCGACCCTGCCAGGGGTGCCGCCTGACCGGACCCCGCGCTCCCTCCTCCAGGGGTGGATGACGTGTGACCCTACCCCACCGGGGGTGTAGGTATACCGTCTAACCCGACCCCGCCCTGCCGCCGTCAGGAGTCGACGACGCCGAGTCCGAGTGTGACCTGGACGGTGTCACGGGCTGGGACCTGACCGTGGTCAACAACGGCGACCCCCGGCCGCTGGACGAGGCCGTCGACACGGTGACAGCCTGGTGTACCCCAGAACGGTCGGCGTGAGACGAGAGCGACTGAATGAACCCAAAAAGACACCGGAGGATTAGACACCACTACGGATGTGTTGGCCTCGGACGTAAGGCCTCAGAGCTTAAAGCACACTGTTGGTGCTGGTCTGAATACTATAAATCCCTCCAACTACCTGTCAGGACGCGTCAGGTGCTGCGGGCGTGGCAGGGATCTTCTGTCCTGTTCTTTCTCCGTCCTTTATGCCGATTGGGGCGAGCCGGTGCCAATGGGAGTGTGGAACGGCTCTGTATGTTACCGGTCGAATTGCACCCTTTCTCTCTTACGGCTGTGGTTTCCATAGGTGCTGGGATCTGACCCGTCCGGATATGTCACAACAGGGTAACATCCATCACTTGCACTGGTGATGGTGGGCAGTATCACACCACTCGTTTCTGGAAGCAGTACTGATAGTATTCGCTGACTCAACCTCTTCCTGTCAAATTTAAATGAACAAACTGACATGTCATGGCGGTATTTGTTTGACAGGTAATTGAAATGTTGGTGTCGCTGGAAGCAATATGGTTCGAGGATGACGAACATCTACTTTTGTGATCAAACGTGGCCATTTTGAGAAGTGTATGGGCAGATCGTCGGCGATTGAATGTGCTTGTACATTCCTAAACGTAAATACTCGGCCATCGGGCTACTCCTGTGTCCTGACGAGGTCGGGACGCTGTTACGAGCGATGTCTACGAGCGATGTCTGTTGGAGAACGGAAAGTGGAGTGTTTCTACAGTGGTTTACGACCTGTTATTTATAACTTGTAGTATTTTTATCGTGTCACTTTTCTATGATGTTAACATCGTCCATGAGAGCTGTTGAGAATTGTACGAGGACTGACGCACTGCCCTTCAGTATTTATTGATGCACTGCACCCTTATCATGACGTTGCCAAATAAAATGTTCCTCTTTCTAATGCGTGTTCCTCTGTAGTTCGGAATGTCGGGCAGGGAGAGTATATGGATGTGGTCAGTGTATCGACAATGCAAATAGTTCAGGAGCCGAATCCTATTTCTTTATATTTTAGGATATTTCTTTATTTTTAGGTCGGCGCGGCTGATCGTTGTCGAAGCGCCATTTGTCGGTACCCAAGGAAGTGATGAAACATGTCTTTTGACTGATCTCTTGAACCTCTCTACAGACGATTTCGATCTATGCGCGATGTTCTTCACCCAGATAGTCATTTTGTCGGAGCACTGTCCCAGTTACCGAAGTCCAATGTCCAATGAATCCGCACTTTCGCTTCAAACTAAAGGACAAAATTGCCAAATTGCCAGCTCCTCGACAATCGGCTGGTAGCACAATACTGCTTTCGAGCGAATGCATCGTTCTCAGTTACGTTCCCAAATTTTACGTAAAATACCTGCATAAAGACTAGGCATTTAGTCTCGCAAAGTCGGGTGTACTGTCAGGGACAGTTCACCTCGGGGAGAAGGGGCATTCCAGAAAATATATTCAGCGTTATTGCTACGATAGCCGGGTGCAAGCCTACAAAATAAGTCCTCTCCATATGCGGGCAGGTGGCGCCCAAGTAGCGCTCAGGCACTAACTGCCCACTGGTGACCCGCATACGGCGGGGACTTATTTTGTAGACCTACTGTACCGCCCATACACCACCTAACCATCCAGAACGACCCACTATCAGTATCGTCGAATGGAGGCTGGATGAACAACGAATCTGCCTGCCAGGTGACAGTATCCCTCGCGCGGAAAGTGTCATCATGGCAAATCGCTAGGATAGTTCTAGCACCGAATCATCAAAGCGCCCCAGCTCAATATCTAGCAATTGATGCCTGTGATCCGGGAAGACTGTAAAGTTCCGTTTTCATCAACATGCAGACAAGAAAGTCGTATAGTTTGTTACCATGTATTTGTGCGGGCGCAATTTGTTACAAAATGGGGGGTCTCTGCAGCTACAATGATGGCTATGATACGTGGGGACGACACGGGGCCGGCCGCGGTTGGCGCCGCGCGACTGACGCGGTCCTGGCGCGGTCAGGTCGCCGGGATGGGGGCGGTAGGAGCCGCCCGGAATGCTGATGGGGCGCGCTCAGTAGCCGCCGGCGTTTTCACGAACACTGTCGGCAGAATGGGGCGAGAGGCGCGTCAGGTCGCAGGTAGTTAGCTACTGCTAAACAGTGTGGTCAACGTAGCATTTTGAAGACAGCGCGTTAAAAAAAATGATTCAATGTAACGTGAAAAACACGACCAAATTCTCATTTTCTAGACTAGCACACGTATCTCCTCCCCGAAAACAAAGCATAAAGTCCTAAAAAAGCTCGAGCTTACAATACCGCCTTCGTCAGACCTTTCTCGACAAATTATCATCCTATTTCAGTCCCCCGATGCCTTCAAATATCTACCCCACAGTGTTGAGCATTCTTTTCATCCCTTCTCCACCTATCCCCGACCGCTTTCCTGACTGGCCGTCCCTCCTCCCGTTAGAGCGGCGTCGCTCCGTCACTCTCTCCAGGGCTGGTGGCGGGCGCGGCCGTCGGAGATTAGCGATTTCTTGTTTCTCAAAACTGAACAACAAAATCACTAGTCTTCCAGACGGCCGCACCGCTGTGAAGGGATGTTCACTGGCGACGATGGATCGGCGGAAGTGCTGCTCCGAGCTCGGAAGATGCAGGACATCAGCGTTTACTGCATTTTTATATCATCTTCACGGAATACTCCAGTGTCTCGCAGCTGGACCGATCAAAATATCGCATTGCTATTCTGGCAAGGACCCATACGTCAATTTCATGACTAGCGCTTTTACTCGTATCCCTTCATGATTTGCGCATTCCCACTCAGATCCCCTGTCCCACAACAGCCCGCACCTATCGTTACCCTCCCATTCAGTCACCAGCCTCCACCCGTACTCCGTCCCTCCCCTCGCGGCGCACCTCTTCTGCAGCAGGAAGTGGGCCATCTGCAGCTGCTCGCTGGTGCCCGTGATGGTGATGACTCGCTCGGTCGATCCGTCCCGCGCGTCGTCAATGTTGATCTGCGCGCCCGAGTCGGCGCGAATCTGCCGGATCCGAGAGCCGCCCTTGCCGATAATGGCGCCCACAGCCTGTGGAGAGGAGAAGGCCGGGTCAGGTGACGAGCTGCATATAACTCGACAAAGAATGGTTCGTCACAGGTTCGAACAGAACAGCGTGTCGATGAGACGTGAGAAATGATATATTTAAATGCACTATTATGTATGTGAGTCAGCAACACAAGTCTCAACAAAAGTCTTTTGAGTTATGAGCCGGTGAACGCGTCTAAAGTATGATCGCACCGTAACGCAACTATCCATCGTCCTACACAAACACCACTTATGAGAACTAGCCCTGCGAACATCCCCCATCCTCTCCATAACCCATCCTATCCCTCGCTCTCCTCCACTCCTCCAACCCGGGCCACTCACGCTCTTAGGCACGGAGAACTGCTGAGAGTCGGCGCCGCCGCCGCCGCCGCCGGACCCATTGCCCTGCAGCGGGGTCATCATGTCTCCTCCGGCCGGCGCGCCAAAGTCCATGCCGCCCGGCGGCAGCTGGCCCTGCATGCCCATGCCTCCGCCGCGGCCGCCGCCGCCACGCATGCCTCCGAATCTGGCGAACGGCGAGGGCTGGTCAGGTTTGGGGTGATGACAGCCAGTGGGGATGAGATGGGCTCCACAGTCGGGTGTGGGGTAGTCGATGATAACGTACCGCACTTGAAACCTCGATAAAAGTGCGTAAAAAGGACGATACTGTCACTGAATGAAGATGAGCTTAAATGAAAAAAAAAAGAATATTGAAGAAGAATACTAGAAATCAGCACGATAACTATCAAGAAAGCAAGACACCAATGCCTGTTTATCGCCAATCACATAACTATAAAATGTTTTGAAATGAGCATTAGCTAAAAGTCAATAATAATCATAAAAAACAAAAGCCAACTACTCACCCTCCGCGGGCTCCTCCCATGCCGCCGCGAGGTCCTCCGACGCCGCCCCCAAGGCCGCCGCCCATTCCTCCTCCCATTCCGCCGCCCATGCCGCCTCCGAGTCCTCCTCCCATGCCGCCGCCGCCCATTCCGCCTCCTCCCATGCCGCCGCGCATGGGGCTCTGGAAGCCGCCGCGACTCATTCCGCCTCCCATTGCGCCGCCGCGGAAGCCGCGACCCATGCCCTGGCCGGGTCCGCCGGCGCCGCCGCGGCTCCGGCCGTCCGAGAAGCCGCCATAGTCGGCCGCGTACATCTCGTCAAAGTTGGACGGGTCGTACGGGTTGCTCATGCCCTTGGGCGGGCTCTGTGGACGAGGGGACGGGCGCGTCAGCGGGGGGAAGATACTGCTACTGCTAACGGTGTTGGAGAACGGAGGGCCGTGTTAGCACCAGCGTAAAAACAATCAGAGGTAAATATAGTTCAAATGCATCGCAAATCCGAATCTTTAGCTCTATTGTCGCACAACTCATACAAAGCTTGACAAAGGAATTTTAATAACAGCTAAAAATCGTCAGAAGCTTTTACAGCTTCTGCTTACAGCTTACAGCTTCTGACAAAGTCTTCCCCATCTCCTAGCAGTTTGTTCGATACACCGTACTGCCGCCGGAATAGCTATTTTGCTCTTCCTAGTTCCGTCCAGTCTTTATCTCTATCAAGTCAAATGAAATAATCATTTTACCATCAGTCTGATAATTCAAACACCATGCTTTCTCGAGTTTGACCCACTACTTTCCCATCCAACATTTATCCGAACATTATCCATCCCTCTTTCTTTTGCTCTCGCCGCCCTTATCCACTCTCTCCCGTCTGATCCTGACGGCTCTTCCCTCCGCGTTCCCAGAAACAATCGCAGAAACAATCAGGGCTCCGTTGAGCCTCAGTATTACCGTCGCACAGCCCCCGGAGACAGACAGAGACGGACCGTTCTGGAGCGCCGGGCGCCAGCCGGACCTCAGTCCCAGCGTCAGAGAGGCCACTAATGGCCCTCGCTGGGGCACTCCAGCCGCGACCAGGCGCCGCCGGTTGCTCCACCGGGACGGCAGCACACGGCTCGGGGACAAGGAGACGACAAAAACGACAGACCGACACAGAAATAGCGCGGCGGGACGGCCGAGACGCCGGGGACGCCCACGGATGGGCTTATCCGGGCAGCCAGTCGCCATATGAGCGGCCGTCAGTGCATTTCTATATAGTCACCAAATCTTGCAAACGTCACTGTAAAACTCAGCAGGCGTACCGACTCTGACTAGCGCGGAGCGTCTCCAGCCCTGCTTGTGACGTCCTAGCTGACCTCACACTCCGAACACTCACCTCGTCGAGGAGGCCGAGGATGCGGCCCAGACACTCGATCACGTTGTCCTTGGGTCCGGAGATCTGTGTGACGCGGTCCGAGGACTGCGGGCACGGCTCCGTGTACACCCGGATCTGAGTGCCCGTCTCCTGTGGATGAAGGGGTCAAATCAGGTCATGTCAACGCCGGGTACACCCGGATCTGGGTGCCCGTCTCCTGCGGAAGAAGGGGTAGGTCAGGTCAGGCCAGCGCCGGGTACACCCGGATCTGGGTGCCCGTCTCCTGCGGGGGACAGGGGTCAGGTCAGGCCAGGTCAGTACAGTATCAGTGAGCGAGACGATACAGAAAGAGTAACACTTGGGTTTGGCAAACCGTACTTGCGTAAGATCGTGTTCATATAAACTGCTAACATGGTCAGTCAAACGTTCAAAATTTCAACGCACAATAATGCTGTCTAAAATACAGGGTACAGGTTGCACGACGCAACAATAAACCAGCGTACTCCACTGCTCCCTCAGCTCTACCGGACGCACCTCGCGCAGCTCCTTGATCTTGAATCCGGACTTGCCGATGATGCTTCCCGCCTGGCTGGTGTGCACCAGGAAGCGGATCTCGCCGTTAGGGGAGTCCGGGTCGCGGTTCGGAGACTGCCGGACAGAAAAAAAAACGGGCCAGGTCAGATCGGGTCAGGTCCGGTCAGGTCACGAGAGGGATGTTTGAGTTCAAAGTGCGAGTCGGCTCAAAAAACGGCAAAGAGAAGTGAAGACCTTGCTGAAGATATAAAATGTAGATGAAATTGATTCTGCTCAAGCACACGAGATTTCTATGCAGGAAATGAATAATGAAACTTACAGAAAGACAACAATCTGTTGAAGACAATAGTTGAACGATATTCGGAGTTAGGCAGAGGAGCAATGAATTGAGCCCGACGTATGAAGATTATCAGCTCTTGTAATGTTCCCTATAACTAATTGGTCATAATTATAATATGCAATAAACATGCATTCTATTTTTGGCACAAGAATGACTAGAGCCGATAAACACCGAAGTGCCTTTGACAGAACCAACTAGTGAATACAAATGTGAACAAAAACAAAACAAGAAAAGCTCTCGCCTCGGCTCACTCTCTTCATCTGTTTTCATTCAGCTAAAAATGTGGCAGCCTCACGGATGCATAATGCATGGCGAGGCTCGCAGTGCGCCATCCGACACCGATGCACCTGGCTCTGTGGACCTCCACCGTCGGCTCGTCCGTCCCGCCCCCGACGGCCCCGCCCCAGCTGACACCCTAACACAGACAAACGGCCCCGGCGCGGCCCAGAGCGGGGGAGGCGGCAGGCCGCCGCGGGGCCACACGCCACCTCCGACATTTCAGGCTCCGTCTGCACTCAATCTTAGTCTCAGGTGCCACCGAAATACCGTGTAACCGAAATACACCCACACTGCTTCTAAGAAGTTTTCGGGAGCAAAGGCACTAGCAGAGCAGGCAACACGAATTTTGAGACCAATTCATCAGCAAAACACCCCGCACCAAATCGAAATATCCATCCAACACACGAAGCAACATCGACGCGCCCGCTATCGCCGCACTCACGTCCTCCAGGTTGGGCAGCAGCTCCTTGGCGATTTTGAGTGTGGTCTCTCGGTCGGCTCCGATGTTGACGACCCTGTAACACGCCGGGCGGCGGTCAGACACCGACAGGGGCTCCGGCGCGTCCGACAGCGACATACGCGGCACGGCGGGCGGGCGAGCGTTACTGGCCGACTGATCACTGATCGCATATGGGCATGCATTAGCGCAACTAGGCAGGGTATACTAGTAATGGCACGATGATGAATTCTGCCTCTTTTAGCAAGAGCTATATCAAAAACATGTATTAATTTTAACTATTATTACGAGGCATGATAAGTAGAACACATTGATTCAAGCGGGTACTTATTCTATAGGCGAAACGGCAATGACTAGCGTTACTGAGAAGCAACAGGACAGACATCTTAGTCTCAATCGAAGCGGCAATATCGCGTTCCTCACAGGCACCGGTTTAACATGCATGCTGGCACATTATTATGTTGGCAAGGACGTGCCCCGGCAATGGGCACCCATTCAGAGTACGAGAGAGAAGTCGGCACATAAGGTGCCGACTGACTGAGCCTAACTGATGAGCTGAGTATTGATACATGAATAAGGGGTAGACAGAGATATATGATATAAATAATAATAATATATAGCGAGACTTGTTGGTTACCGTTCTGGGCCCATTGTATCTGGGATTGTGATTGAGGCACTGTTCTGTGGTGGTGGTATTCCGGGCCGGGCGGGGCAGGGCGCGCACGGCGCCGGGACAACCACCCCAATCGGCGCGGGCGCGGGCCGGGCCGGCACGGGAGGGCGGCACGCGCGCCGGGCGGGCACAGCGGGGCGGGGACACCAGAACAGGCGGGCAGAGACGGGGCAGAGAGAAAGAGAGAGAGAGGGAGGGGCAGAGTTAACGCCGGGCGGGACTGAGACGGCGGCCGGGGCGGCGCCGGACCGTCACAGAGGCGGTCCGGCGGCCCGTCCACCGTCGCCCACCCACACTCCAAAACCAAACACAACGCAAAACAAGAGCGCCGCCGCCGACTGAGGGCAGCCGCGCGGCGCTTGGACATTCGGGCGACGGTTATACGTGGCAATCCTACACGGCGGTGGCAACACTACACGGTAGTTCCTGACTGAATGGTACAAAAACTGGCATGAATAACCTACTTGGAATGGCAAGTTACATTACGGGAGACTTTTGGCACTTTTCAAAACATGGCAAAACGTGGCACTTTTCAAAACACAAACATGGCAATCGCATCGGAATATCGGGGGAAATAGTGGAGCCCGGATAAATAAAACAAAACAAACCAAAACGAACGAAATGAGAACCTATTCGGAATCAAACAGCGTCTATATATCGGGTTCAGGGCGACTATTTGGGCTCGGACGGTGCTTTACGTTATTTCGGGGGCACACTCGGGGTTTGTCGGGGGCGGGGAGGAGGGGGACGTACCTGTTCACGGAGTCGGCTGATGTTGCTGCCGCCGCGACCAATCACAGAGCCGGCCGCCTGGGGGCACGGCCAGGGGTCAGCAGGGGTCAACACAGAGCACTGTGGACTAATAGTGCTGATCCCTGTGCCCTAACAGGCACTGTGGGATTGCTAAGGGTACAGCAGTATGAAAAAATGATAATGTAAGATGGTAGTTACTGCAGGGAGGCATAGGCTACAACACAGGACCGATGAACGAGGGCCGTCGTTCTTTCCAATACGCTTACCCAGCTCTGAACACCTAATCTAAAAGGGAAACAAACCTTCATCGTTTTTATCAAGTCATTCTTTCGGAAATATTCTTCAAGATGAATTCATGCTAACCGTTGCCTTTTGCAAGGAGTCGGTTACAAGCATGGGTACTTAATGTGTTACGCCTGTTAGTTTCTTTTCAACTGTTCTTTCCTCGAGAAATGTTCGAAATGAGGAAACCTGGATTATTTATGTCCAAGTTTCATTGACATTTAAAGAAATCGAACCCAAATCAAGTAACATAAAAGTTCAGTTACAAAACTAAACTAACGGAATATAGCTGAAGTTCTATCTATACGGAAGAACAAGTTGAACCCATTGGCATTACTACCATATTCGACAAATTCCCACAACTTGTCCATGGCGTAACCATCACGAGTCCCGGCCTCTGAACTTTTCCACTTCCCTCACAATCGACCCATGCAGGGAGCGGCGGCACCGCTCCGTCAATCAATGTAGCGCCGTGTAGTGCCACGTAGCACCGCGTCGCGGGGAGGGGGGGGGGGGGGGTCCGTGACGACCGGTCTGGGTGACCACTGCGGGGGCGCCGGGTTTGTGTGGACCACTGCCCGGCAACCGACAGTAGCGGAGGGGCGGTCCCCACCCATCGACCCGTGGCGGGTGCCTGCTTCCTAGCGTTATGTAGCAACGTTGTCGCCAACTACGAGACCGTGTTATACAAGTTGCATTTATGCCACCACTCAAAAACTGCCTGTATGCATGTCTCTCAGTCGCATTGTATGTGACAAAACTATATTTTAGATCACAGAACTAGGCAGGAGCCTTGCTTCACTTTGACACAAGAAAGTTAGCTACCCCGAGCATCAATCGATGAGAGTGAACAAACAATACTCAAAATGTCATTTACGCTCCCAACGCGGGTAAATTTCACTGCATGCCAACCACGGTTTGGCGCCAGTCAGCGACGACTAAAAGGCTGCCCCTTCCCCAGGTCTCCCCCCCCCCCCCCCCCCCCGATGTCCCTGTCCACTCACCCGGCTGCTGATGAGCAGTCGCAGGGAGACATCCTGCGAGCGGTACCGCTTGGTGGCGTCCATGTTGCCACCCTCGTCCAGGCTGCGCTTCATGCCTGTGGGGTAAGGAACGGGCGTCACTGAGGTGTCACAGTGTCATCAGCGTTAGCAGATGTCAACAGTGTTATGGTGAGTCACGAGTGTCATCAGAGTCATTAGTGCCACCAAATGTCATTGGTGTCATCAAGGTTATCATTGTCATCGAGTGTCATCAGTGTCACCAACTCACCAATTGCTACCAAGTGTTCATTAGTGCCATCGAGTATCATTGATGTCACGATCGTCATGTGTCACAAGTTTCATCAAACTCCGGCAGTTCGGCCAACACCAGCGTATCCGCACCCAGCTCATCAACGAGCGCTAAAACGGGAGCACAAAGCACTTTCCGCGAATAATGGTCGATGTCATTTCCTCTCTTGTTTTGAAAGCCTATTAGCAATTCAAATATGGGTTATTCATCTCGCGCGTCTTTCTAAGAGGCTTACAAATTCATTTCGCATTTGACGCCGTCGCCGTGTCACGCAGAGCTCCAATATAATGGGGATGATAAATGAGAAACGCATTGATGTCTATCAACTTTGGTATTTCACCCCTTCTGATCTCTATCATTATGGATAATGAGAGTCAGAAATGAAATGAGATGCTTTTACATTCGCCAATGCGACAAAGAAAAAATCCGAGACTGGCCACTACGAGCAGGCAGACTGACCGAGAGCAAAGCAAAAGCACACATCCAAACCAGGAAACATGTAAAAACCAGGGACGCCATGAGACGGCCAGGAGCCCGTGACCGGACCATTGCCCCTAGAACAGTCCAGGACTTTCCAGTAAGCCATGGGATATCGAATCAGGACGGAGTTCCTAAAACAAATCACGCCTCCGGCCTCTGAGACAGCCAAGGACCTCTTAAGATAAACCGTTTCGGATGACCTAAAAAAGGGACCAGGACACTGCAAGGGCCCTTTGAACTATCGACAGCATTACAGTATATATTCAAGAAAAAACTATCTTGGATGACGATAATTCAAAACATACCGATGAAACTGATTCAGCTGAAACTGATAAAATCCAATAAATATCTTATGAGAGATATGAACTTCCCGTCCCCAGTCGTTACCATATGAACACCAACGAAGTAGAAAACCACCAACGTGATCAAACTACTACGGTACGATGCAATCATGCATAACGTGACCTAGCTAACAAAACTAACAGCCACCAAGCAGGCATACTACAATCAGCGACCTCACCTAACTCAAACCGTATTCCGTCCTAAAAGCATGAACCGTCCTATTTCAAAATCAAACAGAACTCAACGAGTATTCAATCCGCGTTATGCCGATGCCACTGGAACAGCGCCGCTCGCGCGGCGGGCGAGCGGGGGTTCCGTGGGGCGACCCAGCGCTCCTCGTTACGACCCGAGGGCGTCGGTCGTTACGACCAATCGTTATCCGGGGGCAGCCGCCAGGTGGGGGGGAGCGTTTTTGTCGTTACGTCGATCAATAGCCGCCACGTTAACAGGACCGGTGACGTCACAGCGCGTGGCGTGTCCTTCCGGTGGCGAGTGGTCGGTCAGTCGGGAAGGGGATAACGAGAGGAGCGTGCATTGGAGAGTCTGTCAACTGTTGCCAAACCGCAGCTGGGACCACTGACTGGCACTGCCCGACACGCCAGCCGGAATGACTGGGTAAAACGGAGACCGCACCTGGCCACACGACCTCCCTCCTTTACACACACGGCCACCTACCCTGCTCTGGTGCGTATACGGTCGGGCCGGCCGGTCGAGCGCACAATATGTCGTGACGCGGCACCGAGTGGCGAGCGACGCTGGCTGGAGGGGCGGCCGACAGACACTGGCGCGCCGGCTCTGCCGCTGCTCCGCTGACGTCAGTAGCGCGTATAATCGATACGTCCCGCTCCCGGCCGAACGGCACACCCTCTGCCGCCGCCGCCCCCGCCGCCGTCCCCGCGCGCGCGCAACGACAGAACTCACCGAACGAGACGGGGACAGGTGGGAAACCGAGCAGCTTGCCGCCAAGGAAGGAAATGTTTATGTAGGTTTATGGGGCACAGAAAGAAACCAGCAAATCAATGCTACTAAACCAACTTTTTGTCCTGTGAAACAGAAGTGAGGAACATAAGAAGCCTGTACACAATGGGAACATGAATATAAAATACCAATTGGGCTCTCACCTGAACATCTCTAAAAAGCGAGGACCAGAAATGCTACTAAAAGGGAAAGAACAAATAACCCACAGGCCACAAGGGGCCTAAATGGCCCCTAAATGCCTAAATGGCCAGACAAAAAGTACTAAAAGTAAGCGAAATCCAAACAATGACCAAACAATCATTTTGGTTTATATCAGTGACCGTACCTGGCATTTGTGCGCCGCGCGTCGCCGGCGGCGGCCGCCGACGGAGCGGAGTCGCCAGCGCGTGCCGCGGTGGCCGCCGGACCGGAGCGGCCGCCCGCGGTCCGCCCAACCCCACAACTGACCCTCTGGCAACAAGTCGGTCGGACGGCGGCCGGCCGCCGGACGTGGCGGGCCACCATTGGGCCAGGTGTCGGCCGTTGCCATGTTTGCGTGGCCCACCGCACCGGTTGCCATAGAGACCGATAAACAATTCATACGGTGGCCCGGTGTAATCGGCCGCTTTATGGCAGGCCAGGGCCGGACGGCCATCGAGGGGGCCCGAGTCACCGGCGCAGTGGCGAAATCCGCCGGCTTGAGCCGCATCGGGTCCACAGAGCTGACGGCTTACCGAAAATAAACCACGCACGCCGCCACCAACCGGCCACCGGGCAACGCGATATAAAACGCAGCGAGCCGCAAGTAATCGAACGGAAGCATGTGTGTAAGCCGACAGAACCCAGTCAGCCGTATTTAACGTCTCCAAAAATAGACCCATCTTTCCAGAAGAAGCCCTCTTACGGCAATACATTCAAACTGACGACATCTGCCACAAGCACACAGGCAAAAACAGCTCTTACATCGCCACGGAAATCACCGGTCCTTTCCGGAAGTGCTTTCGGCATCACTCTCACTCTCCTGCGTCCCACAAACGGTACGGAGCGCACTGCTGCGACGTTCCCGTTCTCCCGTGTTCCGCGGCTTAGGAAGCGCCGGTCCAGCGGCGGCACGGCCAGGACAGAGCGTATAACTTCCTGTGCACCACAGCCGAGGAAGCGCCGGTGCATCGACAGCAAAGCCGAGATCTCGGCTTCAAATGAGAAGGTCGCACTTCCGTGTCACTCTCCTGTGTTCCGCAGCTCAGGAGGCCGGATAGCGCTCCTGACCTCCCGTGCTCCGCAGCTCAGAAGGAACCGGTCCCGGCGGCGCGGCACGGCCGAAAACGCACTCCTGTGTCACTCTCCAGTCTCCCGTGCTCCACAGCTCAGGAGTCACCGGTCCCGGCGGCGGCACGGCCGGCCAATCATCGCCGACCGCCGATAATCGTGCCCCGGTGGCCGGCTCCGGAGGCGGCTCGCAGCGCCGTTACCGACGGACGGCCATCTCCTGATTGAATCTCGATCGGCTCACCGGCCGGCAAATTGGAGCCGACCGGCCGAGAGCGACCGGCGCCGGCCGCCGGCGACGCCACCGGTCGGGGACGGAGCCACCACGCCTGCAGCAGGCCGTCACCTCCCGCCGGGCGCCTCCATATGGACCCGCCTGGGGCCGACGCAGCGGGAAGATGGCCGCACACGGCCGACTGGAGTCGACAGCCGTGTCGCCGACAGACAGCGCCACAAAAGACACCGCCCGTTCCATTGGCCGGCCGGCCGACAGCCGCGGACTGCTCGACCAAAATACGCCGTCGCCGCCGACGCATTCAGCCTAGCCGGCCGCGTCCCTGGCACGCACCGCAGAAAATCGGAAACGGAGGCTCCTTCAGAGTTTTTCCTCGGAGTAGAACAGCGCCGCAGAATGGGAGGCCTTTGGGGAGCAGATAATTTGCAGCCGACCGAGGCAGCGGCTTCAGCGGGACGGAGAGGACAGCGCGAGACGGAGCATCGATCGCGGGGGAGCGGCGCCCGCCGGCCGACGGCCCCACACTGGCCCGGTAGGCTGCGCCGCCGGACCGTCGAGCGCTGCGGCACAGCGGCACAGTACAGGGAGAATGCAACGCACCGCGCTCTTATGACTGAACGAGGAAACTTGCATCGGAAGCAGACGATACTAATCAACTAGCAAGCTGATAGAAAATGAGCTATAGTGAAAAGTTTGTATTTGCTGAGATGTAAAAGATGTATTTTGCTGAGATAACGAACTCCCCGAACTCGGCGAATAAAGATACAGCACAGGATAGAAATCAACAGCAACCGATAAGCATGGAAACTGCTAAGGTGTCACCCGATCTGTAGGCTAAAAACGGCTGGGAACGACACGAAGCCACCGCCATGTCCGCTATCCAGAGGTTCTGCGGCGGCCACCGACGCCGGCCGGCCCGGTACCCTCTCACCTTTGCAGAGCGGCCATCGATCTGAGGTCACGTGACCCCACACCTACCACCGCTACAGGGATGTCGGCACCAGCCGAGCGGCGCGGGGCGGTAGCGACCGGCCTCAGAGTGACCGCTACGAACGGTACCCCACCCCGAGTACGAACTACCAACAACTGCCGTCATGAATAAGCAATAAATACGAGTAAATGGGATGCACATTGCATATATTTTATAGGGCTCAAAGCTTACTATATACGCGATAAGGTTCAAGTTGCCAGACTAAAAAAAAACAGCAAAATGACGAAAGCATGATCACTGTTTTCTTCCTGGATTTCCACACTTCCAGTGAAAAGACTTAGTAGGAAGAGTTGAGTACTTAGTGAATATTTTGACGACGCAAATGTCACGGCAATGATTGCTTGAGTCACCAAGAAAGGTTTTCCATTTCGGCGTTGACACCCGTCACAGTAAGGTCCTGACAGCGCATCGAACGAAGCGTGAAGTCATGCAGCAGTGACGAAAATGCGACAGTAGTTGACAAGAACCACTCGTGTTTACAAATACGGAACACTTTCAGATCAGATTGAGAGCACCGCACGTTGTAACATTGAGGAGCTGTCACAATTATTTGCCAATGCAAGCCTCGAATAGCCTCATGCCTTACATCCGAAGTTATAAATGGCGAGCAATTATGTCAGCGTTATGTGACGACTAAGATTTTTTAGCGAGCCCCAGTTCGACTTTCATCTGTCTTTCTTCACACTAGACCGAAAAACAATGCCTGGCCACACGTCCCAATACACAATGGACTAGACCGCACGACCCTTTCCGATCCCCGTCAGCGCAGACCCTCGGCAATCCCTCAGCCACACGACCCTACTCAGTTACTCGCGCCACCCATCCTTCCGGCTGACGACTGTCAGAGAGCGCACCGATACCGGCTAATATCCATCGAGTACAATTACATTACCCTGCGCGCGGCACGTGCTCCGGGTGCTGATATGAGCCAGACGGGCGGCTATTACACGGAGTGATCATCTATGCTGTCATAAGTAGACGGAGATACTCCCGCCAAGGCAGGCGGACCAGTCACAAAAATTAACGATATCGGCATCGGTAATAGAAAACGTGTTAGGAAAAAAACACTTGCTGGGTTAAAACTGCAACTTTACATCCGAACAGGCATCAAATTTGGCTTAATTACTGGAATTTGAATGCCATTTTCACTGGTAGGGGACAAATATCAAAAGATAGGTTCATATGTCAAAACAAGGAGTTGGTGAAATATACGTCACAATCACTCGTACAAAGTTTGACAGCTCCGCAGCGACCGTCAGTCAATTTTGATGCCTCTTTTCTGAAACGGCAGAGCCGTATTCGGAGACTGACGAACTTTCCCATTCAGTGGTGCACTATGACACTGACGTCCACGGGTCATATAAGTGTGGCAGTTTGTAGTCTAGGTCAGACGGGGTCCACCGGCGCCCATAGTCTCTCCGCGCTGCGTAAGTGATGCCGACAGCGGGCTGGCGGCCTCCCCGGGGAGTCGTTACCCGGTCACCCGAGGGAGCCGGGCCGCATCGTCGACCCGTCCCCACCGCCGGCGGCGACCGATGGCCCCCGGAACGGTCGCCGTGGGGCGGTACTGTCCGCGCCTAGGTCTACATTATGCATCGGCAGGTAGCGCGAACTGTTTGGCGCCAATCACTATGGCAACGTGTGGGCGGCGTCGATCGTTAGGGGGTGGGGTCGGGCGGGCCGGCGGGCCGAGGCGGGGGAGCCGGAGGGGCGGCCGAGGCGCCACCTCGCGCTCCGCTTGGGATCGATCGCGCCGCCGAGGACCGATCCGCCAGCGGAGGAGTGGTTGCCGCGGCAGCGCCAGCGCGCGACAATACAGCACAACTTACTTTCATTCTATGGAACTTAGCGGGTTTCCGAAATATAGCGGTGCTGTTGCGATTTGCCTCGATAAGATGATTGTAATGCTGAAGTGATAAGAAGTGATAAGCTTTACCTATCTGTAAGAATCTTGGCTTTACCCGGACAAGTCAAGGTATCGTATCACGTTTACGGGAGGATGGACGAGAGAATATGGATAAATCTTGACGGGTTTGAAGTTTGAACTTTGATTGAACAGCCATCAGACGTGAAATAAACAACTGACCTTTTTGGACTTGGCTATCACATACATGAGTAAAATGGAGTTTATAACTGTTTGGAGAATACGACGAAAACCACTCATGGACGTGGCGAATAGTTTGCTTCAGTGTTGCCCACAGTCCGGTCAGTAAGTACCGTCACTGGAGGCAAGTCAAGAGAAGTAGAGATAAGAGCTAACAAAAAATCCGAAGCATGTAGGTTTACATTATTCAACTGAATCACTGAACACAACAGCCTGGAACCGCGTGCATACAAAACACTGAAAGTGCAAACTGAGCAAAAGCCCTAGAGCGGCCTTGCTGCATGGTAAAAAAAAAAACACTTTAGAAGACACTATGGCAAGACATAGTGTCAAGACAGGCCTAGAAAATCGAATATTGAAAGCCTTGCTATCCAGCCGAAGATAGGTATGTATTACAATGTGTCCCTTGCGAGAAACATTCACTATTGATGTTAGATGTGTAATACAAGCAAAATGAGAACTGCCCCGTCATTCCATGACGTAAGATCCTGAGGCTATAGTTTTCAGCATCCGGCAGAGGTGTTTTATGTTCCCGAAAGCTTATAGCATGAATATGAAACATTCATTCGTAAAATGCGCCTCTCGAGCTTCAAGCAACCATCCCGAGTGACCATCAGCTCGATCTAACTTAGCCAGCTCCGTGTCAAACGGTCTTCACAAGTTCACTGTGCCCCTGCGTGACGGAGTGTCAGTGAGTTTAAAAAAGGGTTCCATCACTATCCTGAACGCGCACACCTACCCGATGGTAGCACTAGCCACTGCGGCACGAGCGACCGACGTGGCAACCGGAAACGGGCACTTCCGCCAACAGTAGCACGGGACCAGTCCCTCGGTCGATTAGAATACGGAGTGTTGGAAGGGGGATGGGACCGAATAGGCACTCACGGCACTTTCAGTAGAGTGCCTAGTGACGAAAATTCGGACGCAGCGAGGGTGTGTGCATGTGTGCACGTGCAGCAGCCGTGCATGGG